GGGGGAACACAGTAAGCTGGTATTATTATCCTGATCAGGATATGATTTCCATATTTCATTTTTAATATTTAGTTTTGAGCTTCCCTCCTCAGGTTTCTCAGATACCTGTTTAAATGTCAGGGGGACATTTTAGTAGTATTCCCTTAAGGGGGAATTAACAGATAAGAGGTATTGTCCATTTTAGCTTAAATGTCTAGATGACCTCATCATATAGCTCATGTAGCAGTTTAAAAATATGAGGGAAAGATGTAGGTCTGAAACACTTAAATAGCCAGCAGATTTAACAGAAGCCTCCCAGCTCTGTCTGAATTCTCCACTCTGTGTAGAACAGACCTGGGTGGTTGAGCCCATACGGTGATGTCTGTAGTTCCCACCTTGAAGGGTGTTGTGCCTTCTTCTTAAGGTAATTGCTGGACCCAATGATTTTGGACAATTCCCATTTAATCTCCAATCTTTTGGTGGGGGGAGTTATGAGGAGGATGGATAGGCTTCATCTCCAGAGGAAGCTAATGGAAAGAGATTATCTGGATCCATTTCAGTGAGGTTTGAAGCCATGATTCTGTATGATGACAAAACCGATTGTCCTTAATGAGGACATGTGGTGAGCCAGGATGGGGTGGGGTTTCAGTTCAAGTGCTGTTTCATTTTAATACAGTGATGTCAGTATCCCTTTGGACCAGTTTTGGAGGTTAGTAGAGAGAAATCTGAAGATATGCAGAGTTGTTAAAAATTACTCAGCCCACGTTTGCTGAACTTTATTAGGAAAGATAAACATGACAAATTTAGGTCTAGATCTGTCCAGAATAGTTATTTTTTGTTTTTGTTTTCCTCCAATTGTGTCTGATTCTCAGAGACTGCTTGGACAAATCCCCACAGTTTTCTGGCAAGGTTTTTCAGAAGTGGTTTGCCATTATCTCCTACTTAAAGCTGAGAAAACATGGCTAGCCCAAGGTCACCTAATTGGTTTCATCCCCAAGGCAAAATTAGAACTCACAGTCTCCCAGGTTCTAGCCTGCTGCCTTAACCATTATACCAATTTTGCTCCCAAGTTGTCCGCACCTATCTATAAAGAGTGTTTCACACACTTGGAAGGGGGCCAGCTGCACCCAACACTATTGCCTTATGTGCCTAATAAACTTTTGAACTCTGAATTATAGCCTCTGGTTTTTGACCCGAACAAGAAATGAACCAAAAGGAAGAATTCTTGCAACAGAGGGGAAAAATGATTTTGTTTTACTTCTAATTTTTTACTCCCTGTAGCACCTTTGTAACTGGGTGAAGCTGGTCATGTCATGGACAAGGGGTTGTATATTTCAACTTTTCCAAGAAAGAGGCCTGTTTTACTTTCCCAATCATTTGCTGTATTGGGAATCTCAGGGCATTTTAATATTTTAATAATATGAGTGTCAAGGAAGGAGGAGAGGAAAGGCAGACAGAAAATGTTGTTAGCACAAACCTTCAGCCAGGGAGAGATGGATCAATCCTCCATACTGATCAGACAAAGAAGAATATAGACAATTTGAAATGGGGTGGAAAGGAGGGCACAATATCTGATTAACTTACTCAATATCTGTGGGAAAAAAATAGAGCAAAAGTATGTACTTGGGCCCACGTGTATATGAAATAACCCAGTGGTGGGATTCAAATACATGAACAACCAGTTCTCTGTATGGATGCTGCTTTCGGAAGTCCATTCTGGGCCTGGGCAACAAAAAATTAGCTACTGGTTCTGCCGAAGTGGTGTGAACCGGCTGAATCCCACCACTGAAATAACCCCTTCGGTGTCATAAAGACTAGTTTTTCAATCGTATTTTTCCAAAAAATTTTTCAAACAATTTTATTGTTTTTTCCGTTTTTGCACTAAGAAGCTTAAGAGCCAACATGGAGATAAGGTAATCAGTTGAATACAATAACATCATAAATATACAGCTCAAATAATACTCCTTAAAATTTTCCTCTCTATCAATTAACATAATATAGTGAAATTAATACATTTCTAAGTAAAATTCATCCGTTAATACATTCCTAAATAAAAATTCCATTAATCAATAAAAGTTATCTGCAACCCATTACTTATATAAATCAAAGTCCTGTTTTCAGCTATTATTAATTACCATATCCAACTTAGCCTAAAACAAGCATATTATTTACCATATGGATGTCCCTAACTTCTCTTTTTTAAACATATTATTTCCATCATTACATTCTTACATTTCTTAACTATATTCTGTTTCTTATTCAGTAATTCTTCATTTGTTAGTTTCATCTCTTCCATTATTACAATCTTTTTCTCATTATACCTCCACAAATTAATTATCATGCCTAATAATAAAAAAGATAAGAAAATAGAAATAATAATAATAATAATAAAAAAGACAGAAATAGATCAAAAGAGGAAAGAGAAAAGAAGAAAGATCTATTATTCCAAAGAATATATTCTTACTATATTTCAATACTAAGTTCTAAATTTTATCCTAATAACATCTCTTAAAAATCCAAATCCAAATCAGTCCGCATCTCTATAAAGCCTTTGTAACCCATCACTATAATCTTAAATTCCATATTTATATATTATTCTAGCCTTCTTTCTGTTCCAAATAGGTTTCCATAATAAAGACTCTAAAGGGCCACAAATAAATCTCCCTTCATCTCTAGCCGGAGTACATAAACCAAAGGAAATAAATAATACAAATCCAGGCTACTGAATCTGTTAATGGATGCAGGAAATTTCAATGACCACTATTGTAAAAACAATCCAATATTTTTTTTTTTAAAAAAAATTCCAAGACACTAAAAAAACCCCAGATTGAGTTAATGGAAGGGTACATCATCATAAATTCGACACATTCAAAGGTTGCGTGAGTGTTAAACATATCAAGGTGGTGGTCATAATAGGTGACTGAAGCCCTGCCCCTTTTTCACATGTTTGACTTAGTAGCTGCCATCTTGACATCCCTTTATTCCTAATGTAAATTACATGTCACAAATCCAAGTTTTCAAGGGTTTATGAAAGGTGCCACAGCAAAAATGACTTCTCCCTTGAGGCCCCATCAACCAACTCTTTCTAGCTGGCACTACCTGAAGCATACTCATTTTTCCAGATCAGATAGGATATGTAATAACAATTATACTATTATTACATTATATATAATCATTATTCAGTTATATAATTTATATAATTTCCGCAAGCCTCTCAATGTCATGTTAAGCATCCAGTATTAACTTGCCAAATCTTGAGTCAACTTGGTAGCAAGGTTTATGATGACAAAAAAAGATAGGCTATGGCAGTTGCAACTGAACTACTGTAACAGAAGAAGATAGGAAAAATGAGAGTTAAAATTGCTAGCAGAATATCCTAGCTTTGTAATGGCTAATTACTGCCACACCTTTTGCTCTGTGAAAGTGTGGCTCTAAGATTTATAGCATGCTGTTCAGCAAGTGCTTCACAAACTCAAGAACTCTAACCCCATTTCCAGAGAAGGTTGCCTCTGGTCAGTTATCCCCTTAAGAATATCTTTTTCTCTAACATGTTATCTAGTCAATCCAAGTTGGCCACAATTTCACTGGAATTTTTTGGGGGGAGAGGAAGGGCTGAATAAACTTTGTTCATAGATTTATTTCTTGACAGTTAATTAGTAACAAGATACGCACCCTCAGTGTGTCATGTGACAGATGATCTCTCTATAAATGTATTAGCTTCACTTACAAAGCCAACTGAATCTCTTGGTTATCCATCTGTGGTCTTAGAACAGCACAACCATGGATCCAAAATCCTTCAGCAAATTTCTAGATGAAAAAGTGGAAGGAAATGAAAAGGCTGCTCCTTCAGAACAGATGTTTATGTATGATGGGGTATTATATCCTGCTATGATCACCTGCCTGGAAACTCTGAAAAGGGTTCATACTTTTAGAGCTTGGCAAGATGATGTCATATTAGTGTCATATCCCAAAACAGGTAAGCATTACAGTTTTGCAAGGAATGCTATTGTCTCTGAACAAATAGAATATAGAATCATAGGGCTGGAAGGAATCTTGAAGATCTTCTAGTCCAGCCCTCTTCTCTAGGCAGAGGAAAGTATACCATCCTGGTTAAATTGTATGCATGTTTGATAGTTTCTTTAGTGTTTCTAACAGAATTCCTCTTAAATAAAAACTAGCAGATTCCAGAGCACTAGACATTTTATTATGATAGGTTAAATAATTTCTCTTTGTGAAATTCTTTACTGA